TATACTCAATGGCTTTCTCACACACTTGCCTCAGAGTAAATATTGCATCTGTGCATCCTCTGCCTTCCTGTCTAATGATATCTACATCAAAGTCGTCAACTGTCCTTTTCCTTCCTTGCTTGACTTGAGTGTACTCTGTGCCTTGTCTAATCCAACGGTTAAATGATGCTCTATCCATACCAAGCGCCAATCATGTTCATTTCTCTGGATCATGATTATCACAATATAAATAGCCAATCTTAGATTCCCTGAGGAAGTGCTGTTACAGTAAAATGGTAACCTTCCACATAGTTATAAATTTGCATCTGAAATTGATGTCTATGACAGCTTTTATAAGCTAGTTAAATGACACAATAACTCAACACTAATTTGTGGATGTGCCTTTGACTAAACAACCTTGACCAACATCTTATTTTGGCTTTAGGTCACTAACAGTGCCACTTTGCTCGAGAAAATCATAAAATTATGTAGGTTTTCTTTGACCCACTTTTAAACCAATCATAATGTGCCTTACTTTCTGAAACTAATGAAAGATAACCTACCTAAAGTCTACCAAAACGATTTCATGATAAAAAATATATATCCTAAAGAAGAAAAAAACTACATATGATGTTCTTCTTTAGTTAAAAAAAAATATTTCCTTAACATCAGAGAATATTCTAAAGCTGCATGCAAAAAAGCATTGTGATCTAACAGTTTTCAAGAAATTGGCTTGCATGTGTGTTTATTAATTGTGGAACAAACCATAGAATTTCTCTGTGCTAGAACCAACAGGGTCAAAGGAAGAGAGGCAGAGTTGTTTTTAAAAAAATGAGAATAATGGGTGGGCTGCATACGATAGCAGAGAATAGGATGACTGTCCTGACATGAGTTGGTTGAGGGCCTATGCTCCACTGTGGATAAGGGACAGAAGAAGAAAATCGCCACTGGAACAATCATACATCTAAGATTTATATCTATGTCTGTGTGTGTGTGTATATAAATATGTTTTTTAACTTTTAATTTTATTTTTAGAATAGACATTGTAGCACTCAACTTTCTTGAGCAAATTTTATCAAATGGAGATGCTGTTAATTCCGGTAACATGCTGGTTTTCAACATGTGCCATATATCGTCTCAGATATTGTTCCTTCATGGAATCAGGTTTAGGTTTAAACAACAGATCGACATCATAGCACACGGGTAGTAACCCATAAGTGCTCCATTCTACTTCAAACTCAAGCCTAAGTCCGAAGAATCTCAGCGCAGTGCATGAACTCTATAGCACCGGCGAGGATCCTGAAATACTTTCGGTAGATTCTTAACTCTAAATTTTGTCCTTATATACCATAAGGCTACTCTTTTCGAATTCCAGCTGCCAAGGGATTTTTTTAAGTGCCCAACAATACACATGGGCATCCGATCTTACTACCCAGAGACCAGAGGAAATTACTAGAAGTCCTCGTGAAAAAATCCCAGCCTTCCCAGGGGCCTCCAGGACTCGAAGCGGACGCAATGCCTTGAGACCACTCAACCCCTCACGGAATCAATTCAATCCAAACATGTTTTATCTTTTATGTCTTTAACTAGAGGTCAGTCAAAAAAAATAAATTTCAAAATATCTCCCTACTACATTTTAAATGTTCCAATGACTGACAAGGATATTGGATCCCAGACAGCCTCAGCACCTTAAAAAAATTTGTTGCAGCCCCCTGCCCCCTTTTTTTTCAACCATAGAGATTATCTTTTGAAGTTTGTATATATTCATTCATTGTCGTTTTGTGCCATTATATGTCACTTAGGGCTCGTAGTCTATTTATCCATTATGTTACATCCTGTGAGGAGCGGCTGGTCAAACGGTTGGAACACTGAGCTCTCGCATGGGAGACCCGAGTTCGAATCCTCGGTAAGGCTGGGAAGGTTTTTCTGTCGGAGGCACATAAAAAATACTCACCTGCACATTCGTGGCGACATCACTAGTCATGCAGCCGTAAATTCTCAGGCTCAAAGACCCTTTTTGCCCACACTGCAAAAGTGGTAAACGAAAGGCAGTAATTGGCAGGTTACATCTTGCGCAATCAATTCAATATCATGGATGGAATCCAGTCCAGCACTTTTGACCTTTCTTATCAACGTTTGTTTCAGGGTTCTTTTGGGTGTTATCACCTCTTCAAACCTTTTATTTCCCATTTTGGTGCCTGTTTGATGATTCTCTGCTCATTTCCTTTCAGGATGTGTCCAGTAAAGCGTCATTTTGTTTGTCTTATAACTGACTTTATTGGTGGTTGCCCAGATTTTTCTCTCATTTCTTCACTCCTCTTGAATTCATCTCATTTTATGTTCAACATTTTTCTCAGGCATGCGTTTTTAAATGCATTTAACTTTCGTTCCCTATCTTTGGTGATTCCCCAAACGTTTACTGGCATATGTTAAAATTTAATTAACATGAGAACTGAAAATACATAACTTGGTTTATTATATGATTAAAAGTTCCATATTCTGTTTAGGCTTTAAGCTGCAGAAGCCTTGCCAATGTATGTCATTATTTCATGCTTTGTATTACTACTTAAATAAGCCAACTGATCTGTTAAATACTTTATATTACTTCCTAAATAAGTAAATTGTTCAGTTACTTTATGTCTCCAGCATTACATCAGCGTGATCTTTTATTGGTGTCTTCAATATATTTATCTTTTCATAAGTTTGTAGTTCAACTTTTGATGCTATATTTGCTAGATTATCTGCTTTTCTTCCTGCATGCTTCCCACCATGTCAATGCTGGTATCTCCAACACAACATTTGTTCATCACCCAGTCAACGGTTATGACAAATTAAAGAGGAAATAAAATACATCCTGGTTTCACTTCAATTTCAACTGCAAACTAATCACTTAAACCACAATGAATGTCTTTTCTGTCTATCCAATTTATCTGGAAATAACATTCTCATAAACATCTTTTCTGTCTATTTTTCTTACAAAGCAGTTACACTTGACATTTTGCTGGAGCAAGGGAAAGCTGTTTTTGTCGACAGAAATCACAGAAACTCAGTTTAAATACACAGAAAAGTTTTATTAAAAAAAAAAAAAAAAAAAAAAAAACTCAGATCTTTTAACCCTGGTGTTCATTCAACATATACTAAGATGCACATCCAAAACACACACAAGTGCAAACAAAAACCTGCATACACGAGTTGGAAAAATTTCTGTTAAGACATTTCAATTATTATACTGACTGTTATTTTCTGGAACTGCTCTTGTATATAAAAGGCTGCAAAAATCACTTCCATACCAGACATGGAAACAATTTCTGGTCTCCATGTTCTAGAAGACACAAAAGCTCCTCAACCAGCTCTCCAAATACTATCACTTGAAAGAACAACCCATGTACAGCCAACTGTAAAAACCCCAGATGGCTAGACTAAAGAGAACATGTTTCATAAAGAATGCAAAAGCCAAGCTTGCTGACCTCAAACTCCATATGATAGTAGCAAATGTTCCACTGAAACGATACAAACACTGCCCCCTTAACATAGTGATAGCTTGCCAATAGTCAGAATCACTGTAACTGGGATCTCCTCAAAATCATCTATGAGCAGCACTGATATAAAGTCTATTACAGATGGATTGATCAAGAGACTTTATCCACACCAGAGTTAGATTAGAGTTTTTATAGATGGTTCAGCCAAGACAGCAATAAGAGACAGAGGAGGGGGAATATATATAGAATGCCCAAATGGTTTAACAATTGAACAAGCTAAACCAACAGGTCCATATTTCTTTAATTACAGAGCAGAGGCAGATGCATTCCTCATGGCATGTTCTTTTCTGAATGGACAATAAAAAAGTAAAGGTCCCATTTCACACTTTAGGTGCATCGGGCATATGGGAAGAGCATCCCATATTTTTTACACACCAGTCGGCACAAGGTGGGTAATGTTGTCAGCATTACGTCAGGAATGGACAATAGCATAGCAAAATGTAGCAGTAGCAGAGTAGTCTATCTGATCCATGCTATGTCAATTCTACAAACAACTGTTAACTGAAAAGACACACAGTTTGTAGACTTAACCTAACAGCTGTTTCACACAGGTTCTTCAGTAGAACAATGTATACTACAGTAGATTCCTGGTCACTCTGGCTTATAAGGTAATGAAATAGTGGACAGATTGGACAGAAGCATCAGTGACATGGTGCAATCAAATAATGACTTTACCCACACCAAGAGACAAAGACATTAATACAAGCCAGTATCCAAGAAAGGTGGCTGGATACACATCAAATGTTCACCTCAAGACTCGCTTGACTGCCTCTCTAGAGAGGGGCAATGTGTTATATTCTTCAGACTAAAGACAGGGTACAATAAACTTCATCAACATGTTCAAACTTTTAGGCCTAGGATTCTCCCTGCAATTGGCACAAGAAAATGCTGTGCTCCAACACCTGTCAACTGTATGCTGTCAACACAGACACAGTCTAGCCTGTTCCAGCAACAATGAAGACAAAGCTGTATGATACACATGGAGATATGGATTGTATGATAGCTTTCATAAAGGCTACCAGCTTCCTTATGTAAGTTTTCCGCCAACAACCGCTACCGCCACGTGGCCCCGACGCCACTCATGCGGCGTGGACTGGGGCTAAACTAGATGGCTAGGACTCATGAGCAAGGCTGCAGGAGATGCGGATAGCCGTTTTCTGATATAAGGATAGAAGAAGAAGACTCAAAGTCAAGAATGGAGTTCCAACTATACCTCAAATTCAACCACTGAGTTCCAATAATCATTCAAAGTCTACCATGGAGTTGCATGAATCACTCAAAGTCTACCATGGAGTTGCATGAATCGCTCAAAGTCTACCAGGAGTTGCATGAATCACTCAAAGTCTACCATGGCGTTATCAACAATCACAAAAGTCTACCAGGGAGCTGCAAGAATCACTCAAAGTCTACCATGGAGTTACCAACAATCACTCAGTCTACCATGGAATCACCAGCAATCACCCAGAATCTACCATGGAGTTGTCATGAACACTCAAGACTATCCACCAAGTCTGTAAAATCCACATTCTCTATATCCACTGCTGTATCCATATCCGCCGAACCCACCTGATGCCAGTGGCGCCCCCTGCCAGTGGGCGGATGATTACTAAATGTCTTGTGTGCGCCCCTGCCAAAGCAGACGCCCAGAGGCACCCTGTGAACAAAAAATTATTTAATTTTTAATATAACTGTCTTCCTCTATGTCTTTTATCCCATATTCGCGAACAGACCTGCTATCAGCTCAAGTCAAGGGTTTTTTCACCATCTCTTGCAACAGCCTCCTTCATGTCCTCGTTATATTCATCTTTATCTTCTTCACATTCACCGACTATAATCTCTGGTGGAAAGTTCTGGTTAATCGTCCATTTCTGAACTGTAGTCTTGTTCTAGAACTTGAGCTTCGCATACACATCCATTTTACAGATCTGGCTTATTTGTGTGCAAACCGTTGGTTCCTCTCCTCTCAGTGCCGGATGCACTCAGACTACGAAGGAAACAACCCTAATCAGTGGCCTTTTACTAACTGCCTGTTATGGGACAGTGGGTCAATTCTTGTTTCCCCAAAATGTATCATCTGTCAATGATTATAATTACTGTGATTCTAGGTCTCCCTCTGTCTACATGTTGTAATTTTACGGATCAACTGATTCTTAATGGGTGATGAGGTCAATATCCCACTGGCTAGCTCTATTTTTACCATGTTAACTGTTCTACACAGTATTGTTAAATAATTTAATAGAACATGAAAGAATAATCTGGTCAGAACGGAACAAAATCAGCCAGCGGCTACAGCGTTCTACATGAGAGCAGTGGGCCACAAGGCAAGAGGCAGACCTAGAAAGAAGAGATGGTGGAGGAAGTGAAAGAGAAACAACAGCAATATAACATTAATACAAGCTATACAACTAGCAAAAAACGGGAAACTACACCTAACTCCTCTCTGTGACGCTTTACAACATCTTCTTTTCCTTCTTTGGTTTGGTTTCACATGCTCAGATCAGACCATCAGGTGGGTTGTCTCTATGAACTTGTATGTCAGCAGCAGGTCCTTCATGGTTCCCCATAGCTTGTTCTGTACACTTTGCTTTTGAGGCCAGGGTCTTTACAACGTAAGCAGTAGGACAAACGAATAAAAAGAACCATTCTAACTGGAAACCAATTTTGTTTATCCGCCAAGATGTGGAATTGAATATATGACTAACACACTGACAACGAGCATGCTAGTCACTGTGTTACTGCAGCTCAACCCAATAGCCAGCAGAGTAACTAAGGATTAACTGGGAAAAACCAATAAAAGAGAACATTATACATATTTTAAAAGGAAGATTAATGTCAATGCACTACATTTTATCCCATATAGCTCAGTCTCTCTCCAGAGAATGGCTGGCCACCCGCAGAGAGTGTCACTCAAAGCACAAACACTATAGCTCTGATGGTGATCCCCAGAAGTATATATTTAAAAAATCGCACTTGTGAACTGAACAAGTAGCTGTGAAACGACCCTCACAGTGCAAGGCAAAAGACTCGACCACTTTGCCACAGAGACACAACTACAAGAAAACAGCAGTCTCTGGTAATGTGACAACACTATACTCACTGGATAACACAGTGACAAGGGAAAGAGACGAAAGAAGATGAAAGTAAAAGTAAAGTAAACGACCCTTTTCCACTTCTTCAGGTATGTCTTCTAGACCGATTGGCACTTGGCGGGTGATCAAGAAGACCAAGAAAAATTATATTGTGTGATTAGGATCGTGGCGTTAGGGAAATATCATCAATAGAAAACAGGCAAGAAAGAATAGGATCAACAATAGATGGTGCACAAACTTCACTTACTTCTGGTTTCTCCTATGGTTTTTAGTTTTTCCAGCAACAGTAGGCAAAGAATGGTCTCCAGTCTCACATTCCATGTTGGATGATGGTGGTTCATGTGTTGTATCCATGCTGTTGCTTTCTGTGTTAGATGTTGCCGACTGTGGCCGAACTGTTGCTTTAATCTTTTTTGATCTGATGATGTTGAAAATATGAAGATACATGAAAGGTTAGACAAATATAAACCTGCTTTGTGAGGGGACTGTAAGGGGTTTGAATCTCTTGGAATGAGGGTAGTTAAGGGATTTTTTTTTCTGAATCCAGTATCAAAGTCAACTACATGGTTTATGTTGGTGAAGTGTTCTTTTCCCCCCCCTCGCCAAGCTAGTTAGTAGTCTGAAAGACTGAGATGGATCTCTCCTCAAGCTGGTTTCACTGGTGGTCAGGTCATTCATCTATTGAAAGGCATTTCTTGTAATTAGGGTAGTGTAAATATTTTTTTTTATTTATTACCAAAGTACAAACTCGATGGGTAATCTGGTGCAGAGTTCTTCTTCCCCTCTCCAAGCTCACAAACCAACAGGCAGTGCAAGACTGATACTGGGATTCCACAGTGGGAGCTGTGGTAGCACTCACCTGTTGGCCTGAAGGTCAGGGTTTAAGGCAGAGGCATATTTTTTCCAATACTAACTTATAGTTCCCATTTCAATCCAGGGTAAAACAGGATGCAAATAATTTCTTGAAGTAAAGGCAGTCGTGTTATGATGACCATGGCACTCATAAAATGCCAAGTGGTCAGTAAAAATACATGTGTAAACTGTCATTTGTTGAAATCAAGCAGAGAATTGCAAAGGCAAATGCTGCTTACAACAGACTTCAGAGTGTCAGGAGATCAAACATCTACAGCACTATAACTAAACTCAGAATAAACAAAACATGCATTAGGACAGTTCTACCCAATGGAGCAGAAACTTGGAAGACTTTTCTGAAGATTGCTTGGGTTCACATGAGAAGATAAAATCAGCAATTCTAGATTACAACAAATGACAGACTTGAAAGATGTAAATTTAGAAGAAATAAAAAAAATGAAGATGAAGGTGGATTGGACACAGAATGAAGAGACGGCCAAGACAGGCAATGCAATGGACACCACAAGGACAGCAAGGAAGAGGCAGGCCCAGAGGCACTTGGAAGCGAATCTTTGAGGCCGAACTCAAGGATACGTGAAGGACAAAACTGGAGATAGGATGGATAAGGATCAATTGAGTGGCAACAGTTTGTCTCTACCTTATATGCCTCTTGGCCTGATGAGGATTTAAACTGTCCTTTATTTTTTTTTTTTTTTTTTACTCCAAGGATAACAGTAGTAAGTATCATATCCTACATAATTTATTTTCTTACACTGATTAAAAAAGATCTGTAAACAAGCAACATTCAACTGATGGAATGCTGCCAACAAAGATTTGTAAACATGCGACATTAAAGTCAATGCAGTAGATTTTTTTCAGTATAAGGCAAGTCTTCAAAATGCTGCCCCTAATAGCTTCACGCTGTCATTTCAAAAGTTCAAATTATATTTCGATTTCCCTGCTTATGCTGTGGCAAGGTGCCACCTAATGCGGCTTTCTCTCTGTATTAAAGCATGACATAACAACATTCCACTGATTGTATGCTTTCTTTGCTTGGACCATTCTCTACATTTTTTATGAGCTGCTTTTGTCTATTTCTTGCTAACACTGGCCTCAGATACCTTTAAAAAATGAACATATTTTTTTTATGTAAAAGGTTAAAGGGGATCAACTTCATTGCACCGGTTTTATCCCATATAGCTTGGTGTCTCTCCACAAAACAGCTAGCCGCTTGCCGAGAGCGCTGCACAGAGCACGAACTCTGTAGCTCTGGCGACAATCTCTATGGATCTCCGTAAAAACTGCACTCATGAACTGAAAGGCGCAGCCGTGAAACGAACCCATGACCTCAGAGTGCGAGACAAACGGCTTAATCACTTTGCCACGGAGACCCCCTAAAGAACCTTTTTAAGCCATTCATGCATGGGACATATTGTGCTAAACCCATTTTGGACAGACTAATAGGCAACCTGACTAATAAGCACGATCTAAACACTACCGCACCTCCCAATATACATTTAGAAATTAAGTGTAATCAACCTCCTACTGACCCGAAAATTTGTTATACTGTTTTTCATCTCCCAGCAAAGCGTAGGCTCCCAACCACATCATAACATCTAAACAGTTTTACTATTATTATATTTTCAATTTTAACTATTTTATTTAATTTATTTCATACTATTACTTTATTCTATCTCTTATCAGTACCATTTATGTATCCTTAACATTTGTATTTCTATTACTCTTTTATTCCTACTATTATATTATATATTAACAATAGTACTTTTTATTCTTTGCGTCTTTTTTGTTTGTTTTTAGCCTTCGTTTATTTTATTTTATTTCATTCACTACGAATCACATTTTTTTTAAAGTTGCTCACACTTTAAGGTTGTTGCGTATCCTCTAGAGGACGTTGCAGAACCAACCCTAACAGCCCCTGGCTGTTGTGTGGTTTCTCTAGGCAAATTTACGTCCAGTAGTTTGCCATTGCTTTCTGGACGGTCGGCTTTCTTGATACCACTGTCGAAACCAACGCAAGGCGCATTGCCCGCAGCTGGGATCGAACCTGGCATCCCGGCATTACGAAGCGAAGTGTTCGCATCGACTTAGCCACAGAGCCAACTTGCTCACACTACCCCTTAGATATTTGAATACTCTAATCTTTCTTACTGTTGTGTAACTCGTTACTTGTTCAAGAAAGGCCAGCGGCCGAAATGATTTTGTGAACTTTTTTTTTTTTTTTGCTTACCCGTTTCATTAAGCTTTTTGGTCACATTTCACTGGAATTCCTTGGTATTAGCTTGGGTGCAGTCACCGCCATAATGTTCAAGATAGGCTGGATTTGCAGCGATAATTTTGTATAGGATGAGACAGCTGGTCTCCTAAGTTGCCAACTGCAACATGCACGGTTGATCACAGTGTTGCTATTAAAAAAAAAAAAATCCTACAGCAGATTTAGCATATACATTCAAAGTCCTTTAAATTGCTTCCTAAAACAGAAAAGATGATGATTAAAAAGAAGATGGAAAGAAGAGGGACTGGAAGAAGAATATGTTAAGGGGGAGGGGGTGGGAGCTAGGGAGAGGAAAAAGAAGAACAACAATAAAAACAACAACCATGATTAGGAAAAATCCTGCTTTTGGTGCTAACGAAATGACTCACTTTGTTTTAATTGGCTTATGAAACATGAAGTTGGCCGGCAACTTGTGGACTTTGATGAGGTGATCTTTACGCAGGTCAGGTGTCCTGAACTTCAGACTGCAGCTTTCCACAAGGCAGCGGAACTAGATATAGTACAACACAAAGCAGCCTTTAATGTAATGGCTGTCTATGACATAAAATGCCAAATAAATAGCTCATTAGATGATCATCATCACTGCACATCAGGCAATATCCATAAGTGCTCCGTTCTCCTAAACATGTTTCTTAGTGTGTTTATGCTTAGTGGTGTGTTTATGCTTAGTGTTGTGTTTATGCTTAGTGGTGTGTTTATGCTTAGTGGTGTGTTTATGCTTAGTGGTGTGTTTATGCTTAGTGGTGTGTTTATGCTTAGTGTTGTGTTTATGCTTAGTGGTGTGTTTATGCTTAGTGGTGTGTTTATGCTTAGTGGTGTGTTTATGCTTAGTGGTGTGTTTATGCTTAGTGGTGTGTTTATGCTTAGTGGTGTGTTTATGCTTAGTGTTGTGTTTATGCTTAGTGTTGTGTTTATTCTTAGTGTTGTGTTTATGCTTAGTGTTGTGTTTTTGCTTAGTGGTGTGTTTATGCTTAGTGTTGTGTTTATGCTTAGTGTTGTGTTTATGCTTAGTGTTGTGTTTATGCTTAGTGGTGTGTTTATGCTTAGTGGTGTGTTTATGCTTAGTGGTGTGTTTATGCTTAGTGGTGTGTTTATTCTTAGTGTTGTGTTTATGCTTAGTGGTGTGTTTATGCTTAGTGGTGTGTTTATGCTTAGTGGTGTGTTTATGCTTAGTGGTGTGTTTATGCTTAGTGGTGTGTTTATGCTTAGTGTTGTGTTTATGCTTAGTGTTGTGTTTATTCTTAGTGTTGTGTTTATGCTTAGTGTTGTGTTTTTGCTTAGTGGTGTGTTTATGCTTAGTGTTGTGTTTATGCTTAGTGTTGTGTTTATGCTTAGTGGTGTGTTTATGCTTAGTGGTGTGTTTATGCTTAGTGGTGTGTTTATTCTTAGTGTTGTGTTTATGCTTAGTGGTGTGTTTATGCTTAGTGTTGTGTTTATGCTTAGTGGTGTGTTTATGCTTAGTGGTGTGTTTATGCTTAGTGGTGTGTTTATGCTTAGTGGTGTGTTTATGCTTAGTGTTGTGTTTATGCTTAGTGGTGTGTTTATGCTTAGTGGTGTGTTTATGCTTAGTGTTGTGTTTATGCTTAGTGTTGTGTTTATGCTTAGTGTTGTGTTTATGCTTAGTGGTGTGTTTATGCTTTGTGGTGTGTTTATGCTTTGTGGTATGTTTATGCTTTGTGGTGTGTTTATGCTTAGTGTTGTGTTTATGCTTAGTGGTGTATTTATGCTTAGTGGTGTGTTTATGCATAGTGGTGAGTTTATGCTTAGTGGTGTGTTTATGCTTAGTGGTGTGTTTATGCTTAGTGTTGTGTTTATGCATAGTGGTGTGTTTATGCTTAGTGGTGTGTTTATGCTTAGTGGTGTGTTTATGCTTAGTGGTGTGTTTATGCTTAGTGGTGTGTTTATGCTTAGTGTTGTGTTTATGCATAGTGGTATGTTTATGCATAGTGGTGTGTTTATGTTTGTTGGTGTGTTTATGCTTAGTGTTGTGTTTATGCTTTGTAGTGTGTTTATGCTTAGTGGTGTGTTTATGCTTAGTGGTGTGTTCATGCTTAGTGGTGTGTTCTGTTTAGTGTGTTTATGCTCCATTGTGTGTTTATGCTTCATGGTGTGTTTATGCTTAGAGGTATGTTTATGCTTAGGGGTGTGTTCTGTTTAGTGTATTTATGCTCCATGGTGTGTTTATGCTTGGTGGTGTGTTTATGCTTGGTGGTATGTTTATGCTTACGGGTGTGTTCTGTTTAGTGTATTTATGCTCCATGGTGTGTTTATGCTTCGTAGTGTGTTTATGCTTGGTGGTATGTTTATGCTTAGGGGTGTGTTCTGTTTAGTGTATTTATGCTCCATGGTGTGTTTATTCTTCGTAGTGTGTTTATGCTTGGTGGTATGTTTATGCTTAGGGGTGTATTCTGTTTAGCATATTTATGCTCCATGGTGTGTTTATGCTTCCTGGTGTGTTTATGCTTAGTATGTTGGCCATATCTGCAGATATTTTAGAGCACACTATTAAAGTTGCAGAAAGTATCAAAGTACCTAGTAAAAATAAAGTAATAGCTGTTTTTCTATGACCTGAGGTTTTAGATATATGGTGCCACATCACTCATTGAGTGCAGATTAGTCTATACAAGGCTAGCCCCACTATACTATTAAACAGGGTAGAAATTGGTTCTATACTCTATTTACCATGACTATTAGCACCAATTACCGAATAAACTTCAAAGTGTAGAAATCGGTTCTACACTAGTTCTTCATTCTTCTGAACAATATAACTGCATTTTGACTATTCACAGAGTTGTTGCAATATTTGCACCTTCTGGGTAACACATCTGGCTTCTTCTGCCTTTTGTTCTCAGGGTTTGCCCCACCCCCCAAATTAGCTTCGAGGGACACTGCACAGCCTTTCTGTTGTGGTAACATCTTCATCACTTGATCCATAAGTGCTGTCTCTTAAAGGATCCATCCAGGGCAGCCTTGTGCAGATTGGTCAGCTCTCAAGGAAAAGCCAGGACACAGCAGGGGTATCCCAAAAATGCAAGGAAGCATCCGTAAATGCAGAACTGACACACAGTGCTCTGGCTCACCCAATGAATCATCATGCCTTGCATATGTCTGCTTTACCTCACAACTGTATAATGAGCTTTCCACTTATTATGGGTTGTGCCCTTTGGGGATCAACAGAGAGTAGACCACAGATCTCAGACTTTGATGCCCTCCACAAAATGAAGATTTTGCTTCACAGTACCTTAATGCTCTTTTAGCCAACAGCACATTTCAAGTGAATGTCTCAAGGCACACAGTAGAGGGAAAGCAAACGTTAGTCATAGCTTCCTTTTTTGGTCACAACACTCTCAAGTATAGTCTACATTAATGGACATTGTAACCTTTTGTGTAATTAAGTAGGATCTGCACACAACAGACATATGAAATGTAAACTGTAATCTAAAGGGAAACTTAATGGATGGCCATCTGAACCAAGCTGCCATTTAGTAATGCAATGGATGCATATTGTAACCACAATTTATTATTTAGTAGGAAACTCTGCCAGTAGACTTCATTCATATTCCAAATGAGTTTTTGATGTTTTCACCCATATACTGGGGTGAACTGATGCTAGAAACTTTATGAATACTGCACCTCTGGAGGCCACCATCTCTGCGAACCCCTGCAAGCTTGATTTAGGCTTTTTTGGCCATTATACGTGGCCCACGATGTGGACAGTGGCAAGGGTCTTGCATGAGGTTCCATAAAACTAGCACAGACTCTGTTGCTACCTGAGTTGAGATTAAGGTATTTATTTATACACAACACAAATGCCTTAACTTTCTCTCATATGTATGCCTGAAATCACTCCACCCTTGTCCTATACTATACTCACCATGTCAGTCCGGGAACTAAGGACCTGGAAGTAAGAATCATGATTCTCTTCCAGATGGATGTCCAGGAGAAAAGCTGAGACAAAACTGCTCCTGCAGGTGCTACAGACGTAGTTGTGACAGGTGTGGTAGTGTGACTCGTAGCTGTGGGTGCAGGAGGAAAATGTAAATGTCCCTTAGACTCAGATTTGAGAATAAATAGCGGAAATTAAATAACAGTTTAAAAAAAAAATTTTTAATGTAAATAAAAAAATAAAAAACTAGATTCGTTTTCTTTCTAATACTTGGAGCTTACTGCGTATACAGTGCAAGCTCAATATTTGTATAGATACCAGTGGGTAAAGTGGTCTTGCAATTAAAATTCAGTAACAGGGAAATGGAAACAGTTCTTGTCCATCTGCTTGATGATAGCAATGTTCTACAAACAACTAGAAACAAATCAGATATTTTTTCATCCAAACCGGATACCACAGATATTATGCTGTGGCCAAAAATACTGAAAGCCATATTAGAAGACTACCATGAGGCTACTTTTACAAAGTGGAAAAGTAAGGCAGCAGGAAGGAATGAGCACAGGCTGGAAGGAAAAAATTAAAAAAGAAGGGAAAAATACAGGAAAGAAGACAAAGAAATTACAGGTAGAACATAGGCAGGAAAGAAGGAAGGAAAGAGAAATAGACATAAGGATAGGGGGAAAAAAGCAGACTCAACAAATCACTTACCCAGCCAGTGAGGTAAATGCCTGTTTACAACCACCAAGTCCACAAATGAAACTGTAGACACAGAAAATACAAATGTCAGTACAGCCCTTTTAATGGTAAAAGCAGAAGAAGAAACATGGGTTGAATGTGACAAGGAAGGTCACTCTTTAAAATCTCAGCAATTGTGTCAATCATTTTTTTCAGCCTGTTTCAATCATTCCTTTCCTTCTGTTTCAATCATTCCTCTCAATCTGTGTCAGTCATTTTTTTTTCAATCTGTTTCAATCATTTTTTTTTTTCAAATCTGTTTCAATCAATTGGTCTGTTCAGTCTCAATTTACAAGCAAACACTTTTAAACTAGCCATCCCCTCATGGGATGCAATTTTTCTTTGTTTTGAAGCCCTACCCTGGCTCTTGCCGGGGGCCGCAATATAGCCCACCCATAAATTTGGTTTAATGGCTGAACGCGGTTTCCGGGACCTCTCCATGGGTGATCTTCACCCTCATGGTGGCACTTTGTGTCATCGGGTGTTTATCACTTGTGTGATGACCTGGTGGTTGAAAGTTAGTGTGTCAGCAAACACTTTACACATCAAAGTTTCATTCCTGTAATCTTTTAACACAAACACTTTACACATCAAAGTTTCATTCCTGTAATCTTTTAACACAAACACTTTACACATCAAAGTTTCATTCCTGTAATCTTTTAACACAAACACTTTACACATCAAAGTTTCATTCCTGTAATCCTCTGACACAAACACTTTACACATCAAAGTTTCATTCCAGTAATCTTTTGACACAAACACTTTACACAGCAAAGTTTCATTCCTGTAATCCTCTGACACAAACACTTTACACATCAAAGTTTCATTCCTGTAATCTTTTGACACAAACACTTTACACATCGAAGTTTCATTCCTGTAATCCTCTGACACAAAAGAGACACCACATCATGATGGGACAATATGCATAGGAGCAGGTCAACCAGTTCAAATACCTTGGAGTTGTATTTGACCGAAATGGAGGTATTAAGACCGAGCTGGTTATACAAAAAGAAGCTGCTAGGAGACTTTTCCAGGCTATAAACCAAGGGTTTCTTACCAAAAGAGAAATTGGCAAGAGGACGAAAATGGCTGTTACCGCTCTACTATGTACCAGCCCTGACCTACAGGTGTGAGTCATGGGCAATGACAACAGCTCAGAGAAGCCAGGTTCAGGCCTCAGAAATAAGATATCTGATAAAGGTGGTCAAGTAACAGGAAGGGACAAAGTCTGCAATCAGACAAGATCTTGATACCCAGTCCTTACAAACCCAAGTGGATCAGTCACAGTTACGATGGTTTGGACATGTATGCAGAATGGGAGGTAATGGGCCACCATGGCAGGCCTGGGAGGCTAAGAACCAGGGAACCAGACCTACAGGGCGACCCAGTGTGGACTGGGGAGACAATATCTGACAGTCCCTAACTGACAGAGGACTGGAATGGAACAAAACCAGAAAAAAAAAACTGCTGATAGAGACGTCTGGAGATCTCTCTGGCAAACCTCTACACCCCAAGGTAGAAGAGGAGCGACTAAGTAAAGTAAATAAAGTAAAAATCCTCTGACACACAATATTTAACAAGAAACTGTGTTTTTTGTCGCAGTGAGATGCAGCGGTGATGAACACCTGGCAATGCACAAAAACCAGGGTTCTTAGTCTTAGTCGAGGTTTCAACATTACCACCCCCCTGGACACTCCCAAACCCCCCCCCCCCCCCCAGGAAAAAAACTACCCCCTTGGACCATTCCAGAGCCCCCAGGCGGGCGGCAGTGCCTATTTTGGTAAGCACTGCTTTATACGTTGCTGATGATACATCTGGCCTTCACAAGTGATCTCCATTACTGCTGATCTACTGAAAAGATGTCTTTTGTCTCCTCTTTTGTCTCCTCTTCTGTCTCCTCTTTTGCATTTTCTGTTGGTGCATTCACAACCAAGACAGTCTCAACAATTGTCTAAAGTATTTCACCTATTTCCACCTGTGCAGTGTTTTTATTTGATCCTATTTCCACCTGTGCAGTGTTTTTATTTGATCCTATTTCCACCTGTGCAGTGTTTTTATTTGATCCTATTTCCACCTGTGCAGTGTTTTTATTTGATCCTATTTCCACCTGTGCAGTGTTTTTATTTGATCCTATTTCCACAACCAAGCACTTTTGCTAGCGGTAATAGGTTATCAGCCCCTTGCCCAACCCCCAATTAGGAGGACCAAGGTGTTAGTGTGGTCTGACCCTTTCCCTCCATACCAACCAACATTGGTTAAACCTACCAGGGGTAAAGTTCTGAAATCATTAGAGCATGCATAGTGAGCTTAAATAGTATATAGCTCTGAGAATCATTAGAGCATGCATAGTGAGCTTAAATAGTATACAGCTCTGAGAATGATTAGAGCATGCATAGTGAGCTTAAATAGTATATAGCTCTGAGAATGATTAGAGCATGCAAAGTGAGCTTAAATGGTATATAGCTCTGAGAATGATTACAGCATGCAGAGTGAGCTTAAATAGTATATAGCTCTGAGAATGATTAGAGCATGCATAGTGAGCTTAAATAGTATATAGCTCTGAGAATGATTACAGCATGCATAGTGAGCTTAAATAGTATATAGCTCTGAGAATGATTACAGCATGCATAGTGAGCTTAAATAGTATATAGCTCTGAGAATCATTACAGCATGCATAGTGAGCTTAAATAGTATATAGCTCTGAGAATGATTACAGCATGCATAGTGAGCTTAAATAGTATTAACAAATTTAAACAATAAATATGTATTACCTCCTGTTATCTGATTCTACTTTCACACCGTCATCTCCACCATCGCCGGCCTCCTGTCCGTTAGCTGCATCAGCATTATCCTCCCCAGCCTCACCTGGACCCTCCTTATCTAGTGCCACCTGTTTGATGGCGTACTCAACACCACCAGTTTCAGAACTGTCCTGCTGCTCTGGAGGCAGCTTGAAGACAACCCTGGGCTTCCACCCAGTCACCGTCAGCCTCTCTTTCATCTGTGCATCCCTCGGATCACACCAACAGATCTCACCCTTTCTTCTGCTGTCAATAACAGCTTCTCTCAACCCCAGATAATTTTGTAAAACTTCTTGACTGTGTTCAAACATGCGCAGTAAATCCTCTTGTGTAATTTTTGCACAAGTTGAGCTATTGTCTACAGCGTCTGCCTTCTTCTTATACAAAAAACTTTGGCTGGTAGTTTTTGAGTCATCTACTAAATCAACTTGGCTCTGTGTAAAATCCATCATTACTATTGCTTGTTTTGCAATAATATTTATATCCTCTGACAAGTAAACACAGTAGAATTATCCAGATAACTGAAACAATGATTGACAAAATAAATGTATTAGTTCAGTTTCTTATATCCTATGATGTGAAGATAGTTTTAATCTAGACAGATTATCTTTTCTTCCCTGTGGTTTGCAGGGATGCTGCGGCTTTCATTCACATATTTTTCTTTTAACGGATTGTTGATACCTTGCAGTCTTTAATTTGGACATTTTATCTTAGCAGTGACCTTTCTGAGCGACTCTTTTCAATTTCAAACTGCCAAGTGACTTCAGATTTTTTTTTTACCCCCCCCCCCCCCCCCAACTTTTTTGGATAACCTTCTGAAAGATTAACATCTAATGGTTCAAAACGTCACCATTCGGGTACCAGGTGGTAGTGTTCTGGAAAATGAGGATTAAAGACTCTGCTGGCATGATGTTTCTGGCACATCAACCATCAACGACTACCACTGGTCTATCACAATGTAACTCAAACATCATTCATCATGCGCCACTGGCGTTAAAAAAAGAAAAAGAAGACAACTGTCATTATTGATATTATTATAATATTAGACCTCAGTCATGTGTAAAATGGGGATCGCCTGCCGAGGTACAAATCGCGGCAAAATTAGGATTGCCTTCGAATAACAGGCCAATATTATCGGCTGTCAACTGTATGCTGACAACAGAGACGCAATCTGGCCTGTTCCAACCACAATGAAGACAAAACTGTATGGTACACGAGAGGATATGGATTGCACGATAGCTTTCATAAAGGCTACCGGCCTCCTGATATAAGTTTTCTGACAGAATGATCGAAGAAGAAGAAGAAGAAGAAGAAGAAGATCGAGGGCAAACAAATACTCTAGCAGGGTTTCAGCGATATATTAATTGCGGACCTGTTTCTGCTACTATGCTGCACCGCCGACAGAGCAAATAAATTGGAGGAAGTTGCAGGAGATAGGGTAGCTGCTGCTCGTGAGTGACAGCCATCTAGTTTAGCTCCCCCATCCGCGCCGCGAGTAGCGGCGTGGGGAAACACTAAGCAGCGAGTTTAATCGGAAGAACACTATCGCTAACCTACGTCGGAGCACGTAGTCTCCCCACCATGTCGCTATTAGCTTTGTCGTGTTGCAGTCAAAATTACGCTCAAAATTAATCATAAGGTTGTCCGGCTCTCCTGCCAATTACGGCCGGTAGACAACAGCAGACGGCCAGTTAGTCGGAGTTCTGTCCCTTGGCTAAAGTGCAATTACAGAGTGGAAAAGGAGGGAACGAAACAATTGACATAATTACTGTGTGTTGGCGATAGACAGCGTGCACTGCCCTGCTATAATCATATGGTTACGGTTTGGCTTTACGTTAAGTTTAGGGTTAGGGTTAGTGTTAGGGTTTGAGTCAGCGTTACGGTTAGTGTCGCCTCATCTCGTCTTCGCAGACACTCAACGTCGCAACCCAAACCCTAACCGTATGATGACAGTAGGGCACTGCACGCTGTCTATCGCCAACACACAATAATTATGTCACTTGTTTCCTTCACTCTAATCCATTCCGTAATGTGTCGCAAGAAGCGGTAATTTAGCAACTACAGTTTCGACAATTTGCGGTCTTTTTTGGCAATTTCCGTTACCATGGAAACAGTTCGAAACTTGTTTGGGAAATGTTGGCTGGGGTTTCGGGATGGGTCCTTATCTCTCATAAAATTTTGCTATTGGTGTGATTTTCACTACCTATAAATAGCTGAAAACGGCAGGAACGAACCCAATTAACAGCGCATGTCTACGACAGCTGGACGTTCTCTGTTTTTCTGTTACATCAGTTAGATTGAAAATAGCGATAAGTATTCAAGGTTGGCTTTAGGCTTTAACTGTTACTAGACATGGTAATGCTAGTTATAATTGAATTCTCCGTCCAATTTTACATTTGTGTATAAAATTTCTTTCTTATCAGTGGCTATTTAGATTTACAGTGACATTTTTCAGGCAATCGCTATTATGTGGCTGTGTCTGAGAAAAATTGTCTGCCATCTTGTCTAATGAAAACAAAGCCAAAACGAAAGTTTGGTTGGGCAGAGAAAACTTCTTGTTTCTCGGACACAAGTTTTCAACAGCTGTTTTTTACATCTCATCTTCACAAAAACCTACATATCTCAGCTCAGAAATGACATACAAGCCTAAATGAGGTACCGTTGGAAAGATATTGTTTACAGCTATCTAACTGTGCTGGTTTTATTGGTGTAGAGGGAATTTAAAAAATTTGACTAAAGTATCTAGGTAACTGAACGCGGTCGCTAATTTGAGTCGCGCAGCGCGGGTTCTGCCAGGCATGTCGACCTCACTTTGTTGTTTGATTCGTGCCTTCTCCGGTTCGTAATTGCACTGTAGCCAAGGGACAGAACTCCGACTAACCGGCCGTCTGCTGTTGTCTACCGGCCGTAGTTGACAGGAGAGCCGGTTGTCCAAACCCCAGAACAATTTGAAATTTCGTCCTGAAAGAGTTAAGATGTTTAGTTGTTTACTGTTTAGGGTTAGGCTTAGGAATAGTAATACTTACTAATACCATTACTTAGTTAGCAATATTTTTTTTTTAAACATAATAAAGACATTAACACAAACATTTAAAATAACAATCTTTCTGAAAAGATCATGTAAAGTAAGTAACTTTACACTTTTGAAAAGTTAACTCCGAAATATTGTTTACATTCCTGCTACTTCCGTTTATCGTTTACTATGCTGATTTATCGAGAACTCCCGCCTCATCATGGTCCATCATCATCATCGTTTTCGTCGTCGTCGTCATCATCTATCAACACCATCATTACTTTCATTCAACAGGTAACAGATACACTGAAATTCATGGCTCCCATGGCAGCCCTACAGAAAGACCCTCCGTCCTCTAGCCAATTTCTCTGCCCCCTATATTCTTTTACTTCTTCTATGCCCAATATGGCGTAAATGTCTGTGCCTAAGGCTAAGGTGTTGCGAACGCACTTCGTAACAATAATTCCGTGGTATTGAGTTCAACCCCATTGCCGGCGCCTTGGCTTGGCAGCAGACCTCCTAGTGTAGGTGTCAAAGCCGACAGTCTATCCAATGGCAAACTACTGAACATAAAATAGATAGCCTAGTGGACTCACGAACAGCACCCCCAAAATGCCCGTAACATTCCGTGTCTACCTTTAGAGAGGCGCTGTTTAATGGTAGGGGAGGGGGGGGGGGTAACCTCGAACGATTCCTAGTATGGTAACTATAACTTTTGATTGTTGTGCTCCCTGTTGTGGGTTCCGGGGTCCTATTGTGGGGACAACAATAAACAACCCACTGCTCCCCTCCCCCCCCCCCCCCCCCTTTCCTCAAGCATGAAGCAAAAATCGATTAATTGGAAGCTTCCTTCTGCCAAGGAAACAACAGTCTGCATTCAAATAAAGGTTAGTTGCGTATCTTTTACAGGACGTTGCAGAACCAAACTTAACAGCCCCTGGCTGTTGTGTGGTTTTTCTAGGAAAATTTACGTATAGTAGTTTGCCACACTTCCTGTACGGTCGGCTTTCTTGATGCCACTGTTGAAACCAACGCAAGGCGGATGGCCCGCAGCATTTAAATAAACTAAATCTATAAAACGGATGTGCACGCAGCACTTAAATTTCGGAACAAGACTAAAGCTCAGAGGTGGAGAACAGCCAAAACTTTCTGCTGCAATTACAACCAGTGAATGCACTGAAGAAGAAGCAGAAGCAGAAGAAGAAGAAGAAGAAGAAGAAGAAGAAGAAGAAGAAGAAGAAGAAGAAGAAGAAGAAGAAGAAGAAGAAGAAGAAGAAGAAGAAGAAGAAAAAGAAGAAGAAGAAGAAGAAGAAGAAGAAGAAGAAGAAGAAGAAGAAGAAGAAGAAAAAGAAGAAGATTGTTATGTCGTCTAATCTGGTAGTCTTAGTTTCAACTTCATAGCAAACGGGTCACCCCATCTTTGCTCCGCTCCTGTGCCAACGAAAAACACAGAATTTTTATCAGTCCTTTTTGGAAAGATTGACAGACTGCTGTTTCAGCATATCTAGCATACACACGCATTAAAGCATACGGTAGCAATCCGAAGTGCTAACACAAACAATCCGACATTAGAAATGTAGTTCAACATTGATGGTAGAAGAAGTCCCCAACAGATCTAGTGTATCCTCCTATCTCTCTGCTTATTTCTAAAAGTATCAGTCAATACACGTACATTTCTTCACCATGTTGTGTCTCCCTTCGGGCGAGTCAATCCCTGTGTGTTCTTCTATGAACAACACATCTAATTACTGCTCTTGCTAAATAATTGCGCGTTCAGCATGCCGAACCACTTTCTTCAAGTTTCCAATACATAAGCCTGTTTATAAGCCCCTTATCATACAAGGTTCGACAATAGAGTAATGAGATTAATTCCATAAAAATTTTAAAAATCAACTGTTGCAGATATAACCTGTATATGATTCAAAGTAAGCCCCGTGTGCCTTGATTCAGCAAGTGACACAATCTAACAAACACTGGAACGATCTCTATAGTTCTTCTGTTGTTGTCTTGTCTTGTCCACAATTGCCTCACAGCGTAGTGGGGAGTCGCAGTTTTCTATCCTGGGCCAGGTGTGTTGCACGTGTTGTTGTTAGTCCGTGTTGCCTCAGGATCTCTGATATATTGTCTATCCATCGTACTCTCGGTCTGCCTCTTGCTCTAGGGCAGTAGTGCTGTTCGTTGTATGCTCGTAGAGGCAGTTGGTCGGTTTGCATTCGCATCAAGTGGCCAAACAACTCTATTTGTTGTTTCTTTATGTATTGCAGGCATGGTGTGGTTCCTACAATTGATCTAATGTTCTCGTTTCGAACTCTGTCTCTCCTTGTGACATTGGCAGTCTTACGTAAGCATCTCATTTCGCACGTCGTGATCTTTTTCTCCTGTGCTCTTGTTAGGGACCAGGTTTGGCATTGGTAGCAGAGGGTTGGTATAAACATG